GTTAATAATGGGTTAATAATGGGTTAATAATGGGTTAATAATGGGTTAATAATGGGTTAATAAGGGTTAATAAGGGTTAATAAGGGTTAATAAGGGTTAATAATGGTTAATAATGGTTAATAATGGTTAATAATGGTTAATAATGGTTAATAATGGTTAATAATTGTTAATAATGGTTAATAATGGTGAATAATGGTTAATGGTTAATAATGGTTAATAATGGTTAATAATGGTTAATAATGGTTAATAATGGTTAATAATGGTTCATAATGGTTCATAATGGTTCATAATGGTTCATAATGGTTCATAATGGTTCATAATGGTTCATAATGGTTCATAATGGTTCATAATGGTTCAGAATGGTTCATAATGGTTCATAATGGTTCATAATGGTTAATAATGGTTAATAATGGTTAATAATGGTTAATAATGGTTAATAATGGTTAATAATGGTTAATAATGGTTAATAATGGTTAATAATGGTTAATAATGGTTAATAATGGTTAATAATGGTTAATAATGGTCAATAATGGTTAATAATGGTTAATAATGGTTAATAATGGTTAATAATGGTTAATGATGGTTAATGATGGTTAATAATGGTTAATAATGGTTAATAATGGTTAATAATGGTTAATAATGGTTAATAATGGTTAAATATACAATCCCATGACGGATCCTAACGGTGCTGCCATATATGGTGTGGATCCCATTAATATACCCCCAATGAATGTTAGCATATATACCAGCACCATGGATCCTATGGCTATTGGACATGGACATTTCTTTGGGTTTTTATTTGCATTTTCAGCGAGGATCACCGGATTCCTAAAATCAATGAATTGAATGCACTATTTACAGAAAAACCATTTACATTACCATCAAATCTGGGTTCCTGCAAGTGTCGTCTCACATCTATGGTCATGAATACGCTGGCGATCATATCTCAGTAGACACCACTCCGGCCCAGGGGGCCCTGAGGGGGGACCAGCTGTGAGAGTAATAGCTTGCCAAAGCAAGGGGACTTCAGCTAGCAAAAGCTAGATTTCGTGATCAAGAATTTCAGGCAATCTTTCCAACTTTCCAAACCTCTGGGAACTCTCTTAGGAGTTTTTCACTGAATGGCTCCTCAGGAAACTTCCAGAAACTGCTGAACTTCGGATCCATGATCACTGGTTCTCCGTCTCCGCCTGACAATAGGGCTGCTCACCAGCACCATGTAACCCCCTAACAATTTAACATGGAACCTCGCAGCTGGACCATGGCCAGTAGCAATAACATCTAACTGACTGGGATCCTATATCACTTTTTCGGTTCAAGATGGTTCAAGGTTAAGTGTTGGGGTGAAAAAAAAATACCCGGAAAACATAGTGTACCATAATTTCAGTCACTCTGCCACTGTGTACCTTTTTCATCGTCACTGGGAGTAAGAATCCGACGGATATTTACGTTACTTTAGGGGTATGTACGCCACTTTGAAAGGTATCGATGCTATGTTTACGCGTGACAAAAAAAAACAGAAAAACTGGATTTTCCAGTGCAGTTGGAGCCCACGGGATTCCAAGTCAGTTTTAGGATCCGTTGACTTCAATCTCCAATGGAAATCCTATGGAAATCACAATCTCCTGGAAACATCAAGTTCAAGTTCGGGTGTTGGATGGTGTTGGTTTCACCACAATCAAACCTTCCGAGGATTCGAGTATGGAACTTCATGAAACCCTGATCATGTCCAGATTGTGACTTTGCATCCGCAACCAAAAAAAACGTCGGACCCGGTCCCGCCTGGTGCAAAGAAGAGATGTCCTCCCACTGCAATGAGGTCCGTCCAAGAGGTTTCCTTCACTTTGAAATATGCGAAAAACTACCGAAACTTGGGGTAACTGGGGAATACGCTGAACTTTGGGGGGAGATGAAGGATGGGGCAAGGGCGTTTTTCTCCTTAGGGACTGAAATTTTGCACACCTCGGAAGACGGATGTATATACATACAGTGTATATATATATATATACATACAGTATATATATATATATGAATATATACAAATATATATATATATATACATACATTACATTACTTTACTTTACTTTACATTACATTACATTACACTACATTACATTACATTGCATTATATTACATTACATTACATTACATTACACTACATTACAATACATCCATACATCCATACATCCATACATCCATACATCCATCCATCCATCCATCCATCCATCCATACATACATACAGTTGGTGGTTGCTTTCCCCGAACTCATCATCAACCAACCCCACAAGGTGGTGACCCTGTTTACACTAGTCGGTTTATCACTCCAAAAACTATAGTTTATAGGGAATATATCTATATATATATATATGTCTATCTATCTATCTATATATATATATATGTCTATCTATCTATCTATCTAGCTATCTATCTATATATATATATAATGGTATGATGATGGCAAAACCCTGTCCTTATAATGATATGTAATGATATAGAGGATTAATCATGAATTATATTTTTCTAACGGGGTTTATCACCCAACAAACATATCTGGGGCACCACCAACCGAAGGTTTTTGAAACTCACAAAGCGTCTCCTTGGCAGGACTGAGTCGCTGGTGTTTCTTGTGATTCTTGGCGTCAATGATCAACACCTCGCTAAATCTGAAAGTCGGAAGCCCCCCCAAAGTGTGGAGAACATTGGGTTCTAGATCTATTTTTGGAGGTTTGGATTCCATGTTCAACATGTTCAATATTAGGGAAACAAGTACTTTCTTCGAGTGATCCCCACCGTGAAACACTATTGCGACATAGTTTCTGACATACCATTTGTAAGTATATAATGTTGTCTAGCCAATAGTGATATCTTGTCAATAGTAGAAACATTTTTACTATTGGAATGCTGACCCCCCTGACTTTTTTAAACAAATTATTTTATTTAGGGGGGTTACTATTAGGCAGCATACATTATGGCATATTTGTTTTGACATTCTATCTGACATTCTTTATGGCATATAATTTAACATTCTATCCGACATTCGGTTTGGTATCTATTCTGACAGACTTTCCGGCATATATTCTGACATTCTTTCTGGCATCTATTCCGACATTCTATCTGACATCTTTTCAGGCATTCATTCTGGCATTATTTCTGGCATCTGTGTCTGGCATATCTTCTGACATTCTTTCTGGCATTCTATCTGGTATATCTTGGAGGTTCTTTGTGATTGAGGTCCGGCGGGGAACACTTTGATCCGGAGCTTGCGGTGGAGGTCCGGCGGGGCTCAGCGCCTTCTCTAAACCATGAAACCGCGCTGCAGCAGGAAAGCGGCCAGGGCGTCTTGCGGCGCATGGAATGATGAACCACCTCTCGGCTCCTCCTGCTCTTCTTCTGAGCTTGCCCATGGTTTCACCTTTTTTTTGTGCCAGTTGTCAGCAGCTGGAACGCGCGGATTGACTCGCGCCCTCAGCCACTCCGCAAGATGCCTGTGGCTGTCACTTTGCTTTTCCCTGAGTGGGCCTCTGGCTTTTCAACACTTTAGTCTTTTGGTTTTCCGGTTTGCATCTTGGATCCAAGGGCTTCGTGTACATACTAGGGCACCTACACAGCGATGCTCTCCCTTGATCCTGTCTTCGCTCGGTACCGTGTCATGGCACAGCCATGTCAGAGATTTATTTTGATATCACTATGAACTTTGATCCAGAGGTTGCTGTTGGGGTCTGGCGGGGAACACTGCGATCTAGAGCTTGCAGTTGAGGTCCGGCGAGGAGCAGAGGAAGGAGGAAGGAGGAAGGAAGGAGGAGGGCAGGCTGACATAAAATCTAACAACCCTCAGAACAGGTGGGGACAAATTACGTATAGGCATCCGTGGGCGATGGATCCTGTATGTCTGGGTTTGTTCATCAGATGTCCATAGAATTGCATGCTGTTGCTAAACAAATATGTAAACAGTACATGTTCATCACCCCATATCACTCCATTCCGCTCTCAGACCCATCGAATATGGTCCACTACCTCAACCTGCCACTAAGATTGTTAGCAGCGGCCTCCTGTTCAAAGTAGGGACAGCCATAGATGATGCCTTGGTAGGGACCGGTCGCAATGATCCATTCTGTGAGGATTGGCAGTGGCCAAATGAATCAAAATTGCAGGTATTTGGTCCACAAATATATAGATAGAGCGAGTAAACCAAAAACTAACAAACATGGAGATTGACGCAACACACATGAAATACAATATAGATCAATATAGAGTTTACCCGGGTAACATATGCAGGTAAAGCTAAAAACAAACGCACCAAAAAATATTGGACATTCCAACATGTATCTATAATCCTCTATCCGTCCTCCATCCATCCTTTACCGTTGCATTCATTTTTGATATGAAAAATATAACCCTGCCCGTTCCAGATATGTCCCTCTCAATTGTTTGGCTGAACTATACCGTTCGCCTGCAATTCCTGTCAACGATACGAGAGTTTACTCCTGGAGATGGTTGATCCTGGTTGGAAGTACCACCCAGATCACAGACATGCCAATTCCCAATCTGGGTTTGTTGAGGGGTAGATTCTCCAAATGGATCCAATGGTGGATTTTCCATTTGGAAGCAACAAATCACCTTAAACAAACTTAAACAAACCCAGGAATATGGAAGGTAAGTCAAATAGTTCAAGACACCATGCAAACAGGTCGTCAAAATTGGGACCAACATCTGTGGGTGCCTGCCAAAAAAAAAAGTATTGTACTATTGTACTGTATACAGAGGAAAAGGACATCACCAACAGTGTGGACAAGGTATCAGCAAACATAACGGTTCTGCTGGTAGAGGGGGAACCCAGCAGATAAACTGGTTTGTTCACACATTGATACCCTCCCAGCACTGGCTTAGGAAACGATCACAGGAAACTCCGAAGAATCTGCCTGGCAGACAAAAGAGATAGATGGCTTTCTTGGTGAAACAGAAAGGAATCAGGGAACTGTTTTCGTAGGTCTCTTTGGATTGCCCACACAAAGTCCAAAACCCATCAATCATTGGCCGGAATTTGTCAGCCATTTCTTTTGGGCATCTGGTCATCCGTCTCTTTCATCGGATTACCATGAATGAGCATGATTTGACAAAATGTTGGGACGTGCTGAGGGCTCAACATATAGACAATATTTTTGCACTCGAGCATGTTCGTCACTCTTGCTACATTTTACCTGAACCCAAGTAAAATAGAAAGGAACCCAAGGCCTAAAACTCGAAAACACGGTCAAACATTCATTGTGGCATTCCCTGATGTATAATGGTTGATGATTTGCCGTGAAATCCATATGACTGAAGTATCATCCCCATTTGAAAAGACCCCCATCACTTTGGCTGTCGGAACAAGCGGAATTAAAGTGCCACTGAGCTGCCATTGGACTCAACAAATGCGGCCCATGCCCAATATTGATTTGTGACAGGGACGAATTCCTGACGTTGCAAAACTGTTGGGAAGAAACTTGGGCGGCAAAATGCCCAGGCAAGTGTCCAGTGGAGCTCTCCTTCATTCTGGAATGATAAGATGTTTTCAAGATCTGCTGGTCCGCCAAAACTTTGGAACATATTAAGGCTATATACAAAATAAATCCAAACATGGCGATCATCCCTCTCTTTGAGTATAGTTTCCTTCGCTGTCTGGTGGCTCATCCTGCTCGACCCATGTTCCGGTTGAGTTTGCCAAAGGGTTTGCTCTACATGTGGGTTTGGCTCAAAATTTGAAGATTACCAAATACTGCAGCAAATTCAGTGGGTCCATTGGTGCCCCATTTTCAGAGCCAAAGCCATAGCCAGCCATGTTTTTGAGAAACTGAACTTTCGCACAGGGACTGGCTCTTCTTCGGGTTTCTCCAGGTCCAGAACCAGGTAAGAGCGAGCTTCCCAGGGCGGCGCGAACAATTTCCCCTCTGCCAAACAGGGACTCGCGAATTGATTGCACAGCTTGTC